ATACCACTTCTGCCATCTTCTTTGGTCACATAGGCCTATCCTCATATAATGTGGGAGGGGACTACACAAGGGTATGAATACCAGGAGGCAAGGAACAGTGAGGGCAATCTAGGAGACTGGTATAATATTTCTAAGGGTCAGTTTGGCAATATTTATCAAAATCTGAAAAAAAAATACTTATTTCTTTTGACTCAGAAATTCCACTTATAGCAACTTAACCCAAGGAATCAATCAGTGGTGTATACTGTAGTGTATCTTTCAGGATGTTCATTAGAGCATTGTTTATAATAGTGAAAATTGAAAACAGGTTAAGTAACCAACAATGAGACTGTATAAATATATTATGGTATGTCTTTATTATGGATAATATATTGGCATTACAAATAATGGAGAATAATTTATGATAGAGGAAAATGGTAATGTTGTGATTTGAGAAAAATCAGGTAAGAAAACAATATTATTTATTTATATTGTATCAGAGTGTGTGTGTGGAAAACAAAGCTGGAAGTTTATACATAGGACAGGTGGTAGGAGAATGGATAATTATTTTCTTTGAGTTTTTCTATATTTTCTGTTTTCCATAAAAAGCATTTATAATGAGGAAAAAAAAAAGGAAACACTTTAAAAAGCTATGCCTGATCATGTGCTGACCAAGAGGAGATAGCATTTAAAACATTCCAGGTGTAAAGAAGATGTGGTACATATATACAATGGAATATTACTCAGCCATATAAAAGAATGAAAATAATGCCATTTGCAGCAACATGGATGGACCTAGAGATTACCATACTAAGTGAAGTAAGTCAGACAGAGAAAGGCAAATATCATGTGATGCTGCTTATATGTGGAATCTAAAAAAGGTACAAATGAACTTATTTACAAAACAGAAATAGAGTCACAGATGTAGAAAACAAACTTATGGTTACCAGGGGAGGGAGGGGATGGATAAATTGGGAGACTGGGATTGACATATACATACTACTCTATATAAAATAGATAACTAATAAGGGCCTACTGTATAGCACAGGGAACTCTAATCAATATTCTGTAATGACCTATAAGGAAAAAGAATCTAAATACGAGTGGATATATGTATATGTATAACTGATTCATTTTGCTGTACAGCAGAAACTAACACAGTATTATAAATCAACTATACTCCAATAAAAATTAAAAAAAAAAATAAAGCATTCCAGGTGACAGTCTGCTGACCTACCGCTCTATTTCCAATGAGGACATAAATATTCCTGTGGAGCCCCAAGTTAGATCAAATTTGTGGCCTTTCTTATATACATGAAGGGAATATCTTGGGAGTGATAAAGATGATTCCCCAACCCTATTAGCTTGAAAAAAATCTCATAAATGAATGGGATCCTTTTTAGCAGCTAGAGACTTGCCACTGTATCCTGAGGCTGAATTTTGGTCAGTGTGAAATTCTGAGCCAGTTCTTATGCAGTCTTCAATAGGACACTTCTCCCTCAGGAAGTGGAACTTACATTCCTAAAGCTGATAAATAGCACAGCTAGAATTTGAAACAAGCATAGGACTGTAGGATGTTAATCAATATGTACTGGGGGTACCATTTAAATTTTTTGAAGTGGGAATGATGTAATCAAAGATGTATTTTATTACAATTTATCTTGAGGTGGTAAAAAGTGGGTTAGAATGAGAAGAGTGCAATGAAGCCCAAAGGGCTGATGGACTTGGAAAATAATGAGGGTTAATACATTAAAAGTCAAGTTAGGGTGATGTGCAGATACACTAGAAGGGAGGAAAAGTCAAAAGATTAGGCTGTTGACTTCCTAAAAGACAAGATTAGAATTCCAGATTTTGGAGGAGGGAGTTGTTTATACTGGTGGTCTGATGATTGAACTAGTAGGTGCCTAGTTAGAGAGCAAGATAACTTGGTCTTGGAGTAGAGAATAATAAAGAACCATGATATCAAAATGTTTGAATAGCCATCACCTAGGGTTTAAGAATGATTCCAAAGGGAAAATGCTAGAACAACTCATAAATGTCTCCAAATGCATCGTGTTACTTGTGTATGTCTGCCACCTTTGCTAGACTGTCAACTCTAGGAAGCAAAGCCCATGAGTGTTTTTTTTTCTTTTTTGGCCTCTACTTCTGCTATGTCTGTCAGAATGTTAGACACATCATGGCTCTACCTTTTGGGCCCTTCTTTATCCATCTCATTGGATATATATTAAATTTCCCCATGTTCTAAGTACACATTCTTTCCAGTAAGAGGGCAATACGCCTCAAAAGTAAACTTATGTAAAATGTCTTTACCTCTATTAGAGGATGTGAAACATGAAAATACCATCACAATATAAGGGGTTGGAATATATTCAATATTATATCCTACTACTCATGTTCCCTCTCATATTGAAAATACTGTGATCTTTGTTGCTGAATTTTGGCTTTGACACTTTACTGTAGGACCAATGTAAAATAATCTATTTCCCTTTGCCCATCATATTCACTTCTGCTGAATTGTCTTGGATATTTCTAAGACAATAAGAACTGACACAAGAGAAAATAATATAATGAAATAGATGTGACACAGCCTTCAAGGTAAAATAAGAATCCTAATTTTTTTAGATAAAACTTCCTTTTATAATGTTTTTGGGTTAGCTTAGTGATTCAGAAATCTTTTTCCAAGATTATCTGACTAGTATATACAGTGAAGACACTATTTTAAATTGGGCCTTTTTCAAAAGTATTTTTTAATAAAAGAATAAATGCACATATAGAAATTAATACTTGAAAAAATATAGTAATTAGAAGTAAAGTCTCTTTCTCTTAAACTTTAATCCTATTTCTCAGAGTTATTCACTAATAGCAGGTTTTTGAGTATATTCTCAGAAATTATGCATATATTTCTATGTATAGTAGGGTTTCTGCTTAAATAATAAAAGTAGTGTATGTTAGTTATGAAAAAACCCTCCAATAATTCAGAACTGAATAAGCAAAAGTACCTCTTTAACCTATTTCTCAAAGATTATCATTAATTGTTTCTGATTAATTATATATATTATATGTAATCATATATATTAAATCTAATTATGTACATATATGTATATGTGTATAATTATATATATTATATGTAAAACTTTGTGACCTATCTTTTCCATTCAATAACATATTGTGGCCATCTCTCCATATTGACATCCACATCTACTTTATCTCTTTAAAGTTTCCCTGATGATACACACTTAGACAAGTAAAAACCATGCTGCAATGAACAATGTATGTATGTGTATGTTTGTTAAGTCAAAGGGAATGCATATTAAAATTATGTTAGTCATTTATTGATTAATTCAACAAAAATTTCTATTTACTGTGCTTTTAATTTGTATTTTTTACTTTTCTTCCTGACTTTTTCTGAATCCCCTCCCTCTTTTTTTCCTCTACTTCTTCATAAGGCATACTGTGTATTTCTATTTTTTTATTGAATCTCTTACATTAAAAAATTGCTTTATTGAAATGTAATTAACATACCATACAATTCACCTATTTGAAGTGTGCCATTCAGTATTTTTCAGTATATTCACAGGGTTTTGTATCCATTACCACAACCTAATTTTAGAACATTCATCTTTAGTTATACATTTTCTAACAAAATTTAAAGTTACTTAATATCTCTTTTTCTAGAATAATATAAGGACCTTAGTACTCTTTAATTATTCACTGGACACCTCCCCATATATTTTGTTAAAACTTTAGTTCCACGCTTTAAAAAAGAAGTTTATATAATACTTGAGGCAGCATATCTAGGATTAACTAGTAAACAAGCTGGAGGGGCAAGTTGCTTTAACCTCCCTGTGTTTGTTTCCTCGTCTTTAAAATGGGAACAATAGTCATACCTGTTTCAAAGGGCTGTTGTAAGGATTAAAATGTAAATATGTTGTTATGTGGGAAATTACTTTGATGCAATGGTAAACTCCAAGTATGCTCCTAGATAGGCTATCCTTGAGTTCATGGAACAGAAAGGTGCACGCACCAAATTAAAATATTCAGATCACAGTTTATTAAATCAATTTAAAACACAAAATAAAATGTATGGGAAGAGAGATGGGTTAGATTAACATGCTTAAAGTACAATGGGTTGAATGGCCACATTACCTGAATCTCTGCAGTATCGACTTATCCTCTTTCTGTGTTGCATCACCCTTCCCTGCTGCTGATGTGGTTACAAGGACCAGAGTTGAAATTTGAGCAAGAGGGTCTAACAGATGAAATGTGTGTGAAGCAATGATGCACACTTGCTCCAGGACAGAGCTGATTGCAAGTACACTTGGCCAAAGCTGTGCTCCCCAGGTAGCCTATAGGCAGCTGTGGATTTTATCCAGCAGAGGATCCAAAATGAGAGTCAGCAACGGGTGGCCAGTTAAAGATCTCATGATTATTGTGTCTCATGTGCTTAATTTATATGTAGTGTATCATAAATATTTGTTGTTTTGCTTGTTATTTGGTAAGTCATGACTATTTTGTCTTTCTACCCCTTTCTATCTCTGTTCATAGACATATGCTCTAATCACTTTCTGTCTGACACTTCTCAGGTTACTAACTTACTTATCTATGCTTAACGCAGCTAATGAATCTCATTCATCCTATTTGTTTTCTTGTCTTCTGTGGCAGAATTGAATATTCCCCAAAAATAGAGCAACTGCATGTTACAAGTACATAATGTGTTTACAATAATACCTTTTATGTGGAATTAACTCAATAAATGTTAGACATTGTTATCAGTATATAAGATGGCTTGAATATTTAGCAACCTAGTTAAACTTGAGCAGATCAAACAACAAATTAGAAATCTTCATATGAAAGTTATTTGGCTAGATTTTGATCTGAAATTCACAATAAAGTATAAAGCTCATTAGCCAGACCTTTTTCCTATTAATCTAATTTATCCTCCCATCATTCCAGTTGTATAGATTTTTTGCTGTTGCTTATAAGGCTGGTACTACTTTGATTTTTTTTTTCCTTTCCTACAGGCTTATCCTCAGTTTGTTCTGACCTACCTAGAGGAGCTAAATGCACATGACGTGACCCAGACAGAGTATCACCTTCACCATGGTGCCTGGACCACAGCTCATCAAGAACATGGCAGCAGCTTAGCAGAAGAGGTCAGTGTAGTGAGCCAGAGGCAAGACAGAAATAGATCTCTATGATGTATTTTGAAAAGAGAAAAAATGTTTGGGTTGTTTTCAGGAGGCAAAAACGAATTCACAAATTAGGGTTATTGATATTTAATACATGTTATATAAATATCTATTTGCACATTTATATTTATATAAACATTACTTTATTAAATAGATGGTGACACACTAGCTTTTCTTAGGACTGCCTTCTTTTGTTCTGGCCACATACCAGTGGTTTATGTGCTGGATGAAGAAGGCTGAAGGAACCATGAAAAGTGCAATGTTAAATTTCTGGCATATATGGTTTAGATGTTTCCACTCAATGAAAATTAGCTACATTATTCCTATATTTCATTTATTAGGCTCTGCAAAAAAGTGCCAGTATCCCTGGTCTGAAGCAGCTGCCAGAGCCTTCAGAGACCCACTTAATGCCAGAAGGTTCTCTTGGGGAGACAGGGGAGCTGACAGTGGCTCTGGTGAAGAAACTGGAAGAGAAACATCCTAAGGCTTCTGCTCAGAGGTAGGGCACTGACAGAATGGAGCTTTATTGCTCAATGACATTCGATGTTTTCCTTCAGTTTCACGTAAGATTGATTTCTTGAAGATTATTGAAATATCTCAAAAGCCCTTTGGCTTTCAAGCACTGTAGTTTTCGGGTCACATTTGATGAAGAGAGGTTACATTTATATGTATTTCATTGAAGATTGATGTACAGTATTGTTTATAAGTATACTTAGGAAGGGTTGTTATCTTGGGATCTCACTAAAATATTCTGGAATAACATAATTAGGGTAAGGTAGTACTGAGCATATATCTAATTGGAGAATACCGAAAGGTCTTAAAGAAGGGCACACTCATAGACAATCCTTTCTATGTTCCACGAGGAGAATATTATGTTTAGAACTGGGGATACGTGCACAGTAGATGGTCTTAAGTAGTGATAATTTAACAAATTGACATAGTTACATTACTGGAATAAAACTAACATCAATGATTTTGCTAACCAACTGAAGATCATCCTTGGTTGGAAAATGAAAATTATTTCTCTGATCCTCTTTATGTAACTGGAAAACTGAAGTTTATTCTTATTATTATTTTGTTGGGCTTGGTGTTGTAAATCACAAAGTGACTTTATAAACTGTAATTTTAATATACAATTGTTTGAAATTAACTATTGATTGAAATACTCTTAAAGGAGTAATACAGTTCTTATCATACTCAGTAAAGTTCAAGATAATTCCTAAGTTTAAATATTCTAATGGTACATAAAAATGTCAATTGCATGAAAAAAGAGAAAAAAGGCTCTAAATTTCTTTTTTTAAAAGTTTCTTTTATCTTTATTGAGATATAATCGACATATAACATTGTGTATGTTTAAAGTGTGCAATATAACTTTTTATTTCAACTGTAAGCTCTCTTATATTCTTAAGTTACATATTCCTGCTTCAGATTTTGATAGGAGGGGAATATGTTTTTCCTAATAACAAAAGTGACTCTTCAATTTATTTTCTCTCTAAATTATTTATCCCTTAGATCCTTCGATTTTGTTGTTTTGAGTAAGATAGGGCAGAAACAAAACAACAAATTTAGTATCTTACTGTATTATAGTATGGGGGTGTCCTGGACCTGTATGAAAACCAGAGTTCCAGGTCTTCCACCCCCGATACTTGTTTTTCAGTCATACATAAGGTTCTCAACTCTCTGATGCTCCACAAGACAATCACAAGGCCGCAGCTATGCAGCCAGGCCACGTCACTAGAATATAAGTCCCTTGGGAGCAGTCTTTGAAGGTTTCATGTAAAACACTGGGGTAGCTGAGGAACTCAAATACAGTTTCATGAGGTCGTTGTTGACCTACCTCTCTAGGCTCACTCAGCAGCCATTTGTACTCTATCCTTCTTGAGACAATGCTGGGGGCTTGTCATTCTCCAGGGTTCTGTTCTAGGAGGTACAGTTTCCTCCTGCTCTCAAATTTCTGAAATCTGTGTGGGGCTTTTGTGTTTGTCGCATGCTGGCGCTCGTGGGTCACTGTGCCGGAACCCCAGTGATAATCCATCTACTTCCCTATGACTTCCCCAGACTGGAATTTTTTTAATTTTAATTTTTATTTATTTATCTATTTTTTTGAGGGTTGAGGGCTTTGGGTAGTTTAGAGATATTTCTAATGTATTCTGTTGTTATCTTTCCTGAAGCAATGTAATCTGATAAAGGAACTTTGGAGAAAAGAATATAGTATTAGGAAATGTGAGGCAAAAAAATCCCAAAACAAACAAAGCTGTTAATATCAGTTAACATACCACAATACTGTTTGAGTTGTTAGAATTAAATGTCTTTAAATTTCAGGAATGTAGTAAGCACTCAATAGGTAGAGTTGTGAAAATGTTCTGAAAACTAGTAGGGGTAGAAAAGAGTTTTTAATGTGGGTTGTATTGATTTGTGATTTTTAGTCAATGGAAATTGACTGGCAAATATATTTTGGATTTTATTTAATAAGAAATTTCCCAGGGCCCTTTTCTTAGTGAGGTTTCCTCAGGGTTTGTGTCTCAGGCTACAGCAACTTTTCCGCCTTCTTTTTTTCTCTTAAAGCCACAGGGATTTATCTGCATTCTCTCCACCCACACAGTTTACCACAATAGGTATAATTTCAGTTTCTCTCCTTCTCTTTCTGTTCCTTAACAAAGTTAATTTGAGTAAAGAGTTAGTACTTAGAGCAATTACTTTCCTCCCATTTTGGAAGGAGTTGTTGGACAAAATTAGAACATGGTACTGAATTTGACATATTGACTACTTTGAACCTTAGGTTGTCTTGTTAGGTTTGCATGCTTTCCAAATATAAGAGAATCAGTGCATAATATTATCTCAGCTTTAAAAGAAGGCTTCACATTGTCTTGCTTTTATTAATGATAATTTTATGAAATAAAGAATAAAATCACTGCAAGAAATAATGTGAAATGATATGAGTTGTGAAAATTGGAAAAAGAAATAGAATTTTAGAATACCAGGGAAAACGTTAATGAGCATATAGTCTGAAAAAAAGAATATATAATTGAATAAAAAGATATGAAGATATAAATGTATGTACTTCTTTAGAAGTAGCCAAGGAAGGAGAGAATCAGAAGTAGACAAATTTGTGGAAAGACACGAGATAGGTAGCTACTGGCAGGTAACAAGTGAAAAGGAAAGATAACATTTGATTATTAATAACATGTACTGACTTTGCTTAAGTGCCTTATATGCATTATTTTCCAATAACCTGTGAGAAACTGGGTCCACTTGCCTGCATGCAGTAAAGCCAATCTACTGACACCGGGTTGTGGTGAAGGAAAATGCAGTATTTATTGCAGGGCACCAAGCAAGGAGTCCAGGGCAGCTTGTGCTCAAAACACCCAATAGGTTTCAGGAAAACATTTTTAAAGGCCAGGTGAGGGACGGGAGTTGCAGGATATGTGATCAGCTTGTGCACAATTCTCTGATTGGTTGATGGTGAGGTAACAGGGCCGTGTCATATTATCAATCCTCAGGCTTCAGTAGGTCTGGGAGCTACATGCTCATGGTCATCAGGAAGTTAATTTCTTCCATTTGGTGGGGGTTTTAGCATCTGCAAAACAAAAGACAACTCAGGAAATGTGCATCAGATACTATTATCTAGGTACTTCAGAGAAGAACTGAAGCAAGAGGATGTGGGAGGAGGGGTCTGTCACAGGAAGGCCACATAGTGTCCTGCTCCCGTTACAGTATGTAAAGCAGAGGTATTAATCTCTGTATTACTGATATGGAAATTTAGGCACAGAGAGATTAAGTTACTTGGCTAAGGCCTTCCAGCTAGTAATTTAAGGCAGGCCTATCTGCACCTTAAGTGTTATTCTTCACCTCTATATTGTTCTGCCTTGACCATTCATGTTCTTTTCTTAATGATTATTCCAGATCTTTAGCCTTTCAAATTGGGCCTATTATTTGACTGGATATCTTAGAAAGGAACCTTTAAATAAGGGAACAGTTTAGAAAGGGAATGATAAAATATAAATCAATATATGCAGCTTTCAGTGATGACTAAATAAGAGGTTGAAAATATTAAGGGAGACTGTGAACCCCTGATTTCTTAGTGAATTCAGTAGTCTAGATTTACAGATTTAGAGGCTTGCACTTGATTGGATTTGAGGTTTGTAAAATCCTCTTTCTAATAATATGAATATAAGTTGTCATGATTAACCAAGGTATTTCACACCTTGAATGGTGGTTCAGTTCAGCTTTGTATATACTAAATTTGGTGACAGGTAATAGCTGTCATTTGTTGAATACTTACCATATGCCAACTGCTATTCTAAGTACTTACTTATTCTTGTAATGATGTGATAGATTGATTTACTTATTGTCATGATAACCTGGTGGTGGAGATGGTCTTATAATCCATAAAGGTGTAGCCACTGAGGCTCAGAGTGGTTTCAAGATGTGTCCAGTCATACAGCTAGTTAGTAGGGGAGATGGGATTTGAACCCATATCCACTTGCATCTATAGACAATGCTTTTAACCACTGTTTTAGTCCTTGTTCCTAGTAGTTTTTATTGTATTAATTTCATAACAGAATGTCATCATATTGAGTAGCCATATTAAGTCATTACTAAAATTTTATGTGTATTACATCATAAAAGATTTGACTAAACTATTGCCATTTTGATTGGTGTATTACTTTGAATTATATCCTTAAAAAAAACCTACAGCAATCATCACAAACGAGGTCATCTACAGAATCATTTCAGTTAATATATTTAAAACTCTTGTAGAAAGCATCTAATTGTTTATCTTTTTTTTCTTTTTTTTTTAATGTGGAGAAATTCTTTTTTCCATTGAAGAGAAAGGAAAATCTTTTACTGTGTTAGGTCTTTCATGTAGGATTCTTAGTACATGATAGGTTATATTTTTTGTTTGCGTAAAATGTTTTTGCTTCCTCTATCAGTGAGATGAGGAAATGTGGTTCTCTTCTTACTTGGATAAAGTGAGTTGTGTGTACATTTAAATCTAAGTTTGGTCTGAAATAAAATAAATGCCATATTCTGGCATCTTTAAGTGTTTGGAACGTGTTTGTTTACATTAGTTTATCCGATGGAGTGCTTTACCCTTATTTAAATTGAATAGGGGGTGGGGAAGGACTGGGACAGCCGACAAAGCACAATGACCCAGCTTGTCACCCAGTGACCTGTGAGAAGGAAATAATGAACTGTGAGTAGCTGTCATCTTAACTGTTTCTGACAGTTTGCCTTTGGGCACATCTGTGTTAGTTGCATTGGAAAGGCCTTTGTTCTTTTCCCACTAGTGACTTTGTCGAGCGCTGAGGGGTTTGCTAGCTACTGTACTCCTAACCAGCCCCTTCCTTCCCAGGGAAGTAAGCAGCTGCCACGGATCGTATTGACATTTCTCTTCATGACTCAACTTGGCATGTACTTCACTCTTTCAAAAGAGAACATATATTTAAAAGTTCTTTGATTTTTTTCATTAAAAATGTACTTTAATGTCTCATGAGT